AAAAAAAAAAAGATGGTCTCATTTCCCTGAGGACAGTTTCAGTATGCCCAGAATTACTGCACTTATAGCAGCTTTATTAGCAGTCTCCGGAGATAGTCCTTGATCTTTTAAAAATTAGATAACATGTTTTGGGTGCTTCATCTGCTAATATCACTGATCTTAGTGTCATACTTTAAGTTTCTTAAACTCCTGGCTCTTTTAACAGAAATATTAATGTTGCTGTGAGTAAAATATGAATGAAAGCGTTTCCCTAGAAGAAAGGGTTAAAACAGCCCATATTGATAAATGAACAACACTGATGAGCAATCAAGACCAGATGCAGTCTAAAGCGCATGGATTAGGTGGGAGAATCGCTCCCCTTGGCCTCCAGGCTGTGCTGCTGCTAATAAAACCCAGAACATGCTTGGCTTGCTTTGCTGCCAGGGCACATTGTTGCTTCATGGTTAGTTTGCAGTCTACTGGCATTCCACCCACCAGGTCCTTCTCAGCAGAGCTGCTCCACTATTATCCCCTAGCCTGTACTGTGGCTAGGGCTTGGTCTTCCTCCCTGGGCGGATGATTTTGCATCTGTCTCTGCTGACTTTCACAAGGGTCCTCTTGGCCCATTTGTCCAGCCTGCTTAGCTCTCTCTGGATGGTAGCCCTGCCACCAAACATTGACTCATTCCCCATTTCTCCTCCTAATTTGGGGTTATCTACAAGCCCTGTAAACAGACATTCCATTGCTGCCTCCAAATCATTGATAGAAATATTAGACTGGAAGGTCCAAGGACAGATGTCTGCAGTACTCTACTTGTTGCTGGCATCCAGGCAGAATATGAAGCTGATGAGAGCTGCAGGTTATTACCAATGAGCTGCTAATACCTGTCAAACAGACAGCAATACTTAACCACCTCTGGTTAATAAACCCCCATATCTTCACCCATTCACTGTTAAAGGGTTCAGGGCCCTGGAGGCAGAGGACACTCAGGATGCAGAAGCCATCAGGGCTGTGAGATACTTCTGTAGGTTGGCCAGTCTTCTGTCAGGATCCAGCAACTAACCAGGAGCCATGGGGCAAGATCCGGCACAGTCTGGAGGGCCAGGCCCCAGAGTGCACAGCCCAGAGCTCAAGCAGGACCAAGCTGACCATCAGGGACCAGCAAGAGCAGGGCTGATGTACAGGGTGACTCCAGCACAGGCAGTGCCTCACCAAGCACGGCATAGACTCATAATATCCAAGTAAGGCAAGGGCAGCAGGGGTGGTCACAGCAACAGGTTCTGCTAATAGTCCCAGTGTTTATCAAATAGGCAGTAACAAGTCAGGTCTAGTCAACAAGTTGAGAACAGGGCTGGAGTTGAGTCTGTCTATAACTCATACATAACTCATACAAGAACAGAGGGAGCTTAAATAGAGATCATGAGCCAGGGAACACAGAATCACAGAATGGTTGAGGTTGGAAGGGACCTCTAGACACCATCTAGTCCAACCCCCCTGCTCCAGCAGGGACACTTAGAGCACGTGGCACAGGGTGGCATCCAGGCAGGTTTGGAAGATCTCCAGAGATGGAGACTCCACAACCTCTCTGGGCAGCCTGTTCCAGGGCTCTGTCACCCTCAGAGGAAAGAAGTTCTTCCTCAAATGAAGATGGAACTTAATGTGTTTCAACTTGTGCCCATTACCCCTTGCCTGTAACTGATCACCACCAAGAAGAGTTTGGCCCCATCCTCTTTACATTCTCCCCTCAGGTACTTATACAGATTGATCAGATCCCTCTCAATCTTCTCTTCTCTAGGCTAAATGGGCCCAGCTCGCTTAGTCTTTCCTCATAAGCACAGGGGGGTGGGTGTAAATCTCAGGTGTGACCAGTCAGGTCTCATGGGGGCA